TAACACGTGACAAGTGTTTCTTAGTTCCAAGTCAGGATCAGACTACTTTGACTCAAGAATCGGAGGGTCGATTGAGGAAGTACATCCCGAATTGTTTACGGTGGCCCAGATAGTGTCACCCCGGAGGAGACCATTTGGATAATCATCACTGTAGATAAAGATGATATTCAAATAAGCAGATTCTGGAATATTTGGGATTCTACATTAATTCTTTGGCTGTTATAAATCCACCGGGCAGAACATACGAAATGAGCAAATAATGCTCATATGGGACATGTGTGATCTTAGGGGACGGTTATATTAGGTTTACACTATAAATGCTCCCCTTCCCTAACAATTGTTCTGATTTTTCTCCATATTCAACACAGTTAGCGCACTATTGCTATGCAGAAATTACTTATTCTTCAACACTGTTCAAAAAATTCCTTTCCGTCAAGGATCATCAAAAAGAATTCTCTCTTCTAGACTTTCACTAAATCTTGTTAATGTGCTTATATCATCTACTTGTTTATTTCTTTATACAATTACATCTTTTCTAGACATAGAACTCACATAATCGGTTTAATATAGTTTGAGGCCCTAATTTAATAAATTTACTTGATTTATCAAAAATCTAAATTTTTAAGTTAAACAATTTAGCGCCCGCCGTGGGCCCAAGCAATTGTCCGATCATTTCAAAACGTAATTGATCTTTCTATAACTTCTTTAATTCTCTGTTTCTCACTTATTAGTTGTTATTAGAAGGAATACAATGTCTAGAATCAATAACCAACCAACAAGTTGACCATAGCTTACTAACAGGAGGAATGCTGGATGACCAGACCATGCCCATCTAGGGAGACTTCCCCCGAGAGATCTCCTAGCAGGGACGGAGAGCAATGTAAATTAGAAAAGACAATAAAGAGTTCTATAGCCCAGTAGCAGGCGCGGAACAATCAGTTTGGAAAAGTGTTCATGGCTTTAACTAGTAGAAGTTAAAATTTCAGGAGTTCCACTTATCATCAAAGGAATAGACATGGACAAATACTCTCAGCAACCTAGGAAGCCAAGCGCTGCCCTATTGCCGATACCGTAGAAGTTCAAGATGCTAGATATTCCAAACTATGACGAAATATCGAATCCTTGGGATCATGTCATAGCCTGCACTATTGTTGGGGCCAAATGCACATTCAAGTGTATACGGTCGACATGTAATAAAGTGATGAAGTAGAGTATCATTCCCACGAGAACTTGTGAGTAACTACCAACTAGATTAAACTAGAGTATGAAGCAATTAATAAACTAGATATCGAACAAAACACGTAGGAAACTTAGAATAAAAATTAATAGGAGAGAATATTTCAGGGTTATAAGCTAGCTAACAATCTTGTTGAGTTATCTGCTTAAATTGACTACTACCTCTATTTCAATTTGCTTGAACTTTTTCAGAATATGAGGGTCAAGTTGACTAATTATCGATGTGAATACGAACATAGATTATTTATGTTTTTGTAATGACCCGACTAAATCCCACCAAGTCGTGATGACACCTAACCCAATCCGCTTGGTAAGTCAAACAATATAAAGTACACCTATAATGAGAAATCATCAATATAAGTAATAAAGACTGACAAACGAATTTAATACAACTATCCCAAGGACTGGTAGTATAAGTCATGAGCCACTATAAATTCTGACAACCCGGGGAATCGGCAGAAAGAGATGGGTTGGATACTGAAATCTGTACAGAAGTCCTGATTTTTTCGAGGCAGGAATTTGACCTGTATCTGGCCAACTCCGCGAACTGCTGGGTGCGGCATATTCATGGACTGGCAAAGCGAACTCTCAATTAGATAAGGAGAGCCTAAAGAGCTCTCTATCTTTCCCCAAATTTCGACTAGCACGATTCTTTTTCTCAACCAATTTGAATTTCATTTCATTTTTTATTTTAAGTAGAGTAGTAAGTAGCTAGGCGGATTTCAGCGCATGTTGAATTGAGAATCACCAAAAAGAATTAGAAGCGCATATGATAGACAAGCAGAGAAGGATCTTATGCTACCGGTGACCTGCCTGTCTATCTAGTATCTAGTACTAGGACTAGTAGAGTAGAGGCACTATTGGGCGAGGCTTCCTCGATCACAGCTTCTCGCATAGCTAACTGCCAGACAAGGATGCAAATCAACTCCTTATATAGAATACAGATCGACACATTCAATGAAATAACAGTTAGATATAGAAAGCTAATGAAAAGAATAAATACAACATCCGTTTGAAGTTTACATAAACATAAATGAAGTCGTAAACTACCATGAACAAATGGTAGCTTGAATCTGGAATGCAGCTATAAGTTCAGTGCCATACTTCATCATCTACAGTAACTCAGCTCCAAGAATCTGCTCGCAAGGTGCAGAAGTGTAATATGAGTACAATCGACCCCATGTACTTAATAAGTATCTTGACTAACCTTGATGAAGTAGTGACAAGAATTTTAAGTCAAAGACACTCACTTTGCATAATCTGTGCAGCTCAATAACATGTACAATACAGAGAAATATCGAGAGAGGCAGTCATAAAATAACGAATATCAAAATTTACGTACACAATCAAAGAATAGATCATAAGCATGCTTTTCTAATTAACAAATCAAAACCAATACAGTTTCACTAGCTCCGCCTGTAAAGGAGACATGCACCGAGTAATTTGTACTCAAATACTTTTACTGGGACGTAAGGGTCTATACTAGACAATGAACCAATTTCATATAAATTTCCAAATGACAGGTTTATGTAACCTTTGCATGAGTTCAACATGACGACGTATGATGATAACTTCCTCGCAACATCAATCTGACACCCTCCTAGTGTCCACCAACCCACTAACAAGTCGCATGGATAATACATGTAAAATATGTGAAATGTATGACAAGCATAAAGAATTCATGTGCATAATCAAGAATGCCAACTTTATACTGCCACATGTGCATAATGCCTCTTATACTCCACACAACATCATCACTAAAATGCCACCCTTATACCGCCACATATGCATCAATAGTGAAATGTTCCCTTATTCCGCCACATGTGTATAATCAAGAACATCAACGTGGTGCCACAATCCGTGTGTACACCATCAAGGAGAAACATGACAGAAAAACTATAGGGAGATAGATCTGTATCCACACACTTTACGGCACCAACCTTGTGCATAATAATAGGCGCACAACGAAGACCTCGTTCCCTAAAAATAGCAATATCGTCACAACTGCACGGCAAAGACCTCATGCCAAATCAATATCACATCACAATCCGTACGACAAATACCTCGTGCCACAATATCATCACAATCGCACAACAAATAACTCATGCCTAACCTAAGTCCATATCTGAAAATCATATGCAGTGATGCATGCATATGGATGGGAAAATAAGCATGTACGATGCATATGGACTGAGAAATAACCATGCATGGATGTGTGCACGTATACAAGGGATGATCCCTAAGTAGGATGTATGCCTATTTGTTCGTATGACCATAGACCTAACATGTAATACGTCACCCAAATGATCATTATGTCCCAAAAATCGAAAGTCATTTCATAGTCTTTAACATGGGTAAGGAACTCAAGTAGTCATACTTCAATTAAAGGCATAAGACAAGAATAGCAAGTACGGGCGTGTATCATAATATACATGTAACTACATCTAAGCAAGTGTAACAATAACCCCAAGAAGAGTTCATCATGCTTAAAATAAGGTACTATTAGCCTCACATTAGCTCTAGCATGGTCTATCGCGCTCACGTGGTCAGTCAATTGAATAACACATAGAATTAAGTAGGACATACAACCAAATAAGGCATAGAGTAATCTAGAATCTACCCCGCACATGAATATTTATGTCACATGTATATACGCTCGTCTCCTCATATATACATCACCCTCGCATGTAGTAAACAATATTAATTAGTAGGAAATATTTCATCAACCAAAGCTAGGCAAGACACTTACCTCAATTAGCCCAAATCAATCCTCTACAATAGCCTTTCCTCTATAAATCACCTCCCCCCGGCTCAAATCAAGCCAAAAAATAACTCAATAAAATCAAACAATACTATATGAATCAATTTCAAATAATAAAGTTTCAATCTTTACCCAATGCTCAAAAAGTAAATAAAAGTCAACCCCGGGTCCACATGGTCAAAATCCTAGTTAAAAGGTAGATCTCGACTACTCATAACCCCACGAGTCCACATATGTGATTAGATTCCAAAACCGAGTCCAAATCGACTCTCAATTCATTAATTTTCATTTTCCAAAATATTGTCAGATTCCTTCAAAATTCTCTTCCAAATTCCATAATCTAGGTGTAATAATCCATGGGGAAACAAGATATAATATGAAAATCAATTAGAAATCGTTTATCCTCTTCCCTTGTGTAAAAATTATTACACCCCGTACTTTCATGTTAGAATTCGTCTTAAGTGAATCAATATAAGCCAGAGAGTTTAAGGACCTTTGCAAAAGTAATGATGGTTTAAAACAAGTGTTAAGGAAGTATCGTAAGGGTTGGAGGCTAAATGAATCAAAGATATTATAACTCATACTTTTAGGGGTAAAACTAGGAGTTATTAATATGATAATGAGGATTTTTTAAGGTACTTAAATCATATAATATTTGTATGTTGAGTTTTGATGTCAAACAAGTTGTAAACAAAAGTCGGCAAAAGTTATTGCAAGTTACATTCATAATTTTAGTGAAATTTGGGTCTAATGTCACTAAGCATTTCTCCTAATATACTTGGCGTTATGGGATGATCTACCTACAAGAATGAAGGTCTATGAGTCTAGTTTCCAACACATTAAACCGTTCATCAATGCAACGTCGGAGTAGAGAGATATTTATATTTTTGCGAGACTGCGCAGACAGTCCCTTTGGGACCCACTTAGGCAATCCAAAATTAGCAAGTTGTATAAAGTGGTAGAACAACTTGGAGATCTCATTTTTCGTTCATATCAGTTCCTATACAACCTAAAACTCTCTCTAAAGGTTCTCACGTAGTTCAAGAGCTAATCCTTAGGTGCTCAAAGTGAATCAAACGCTTGAAACCTTGTGGTGGCTATTTTCAGAGATTTCTTCATGGTGAAGTAAGCTTGAGTTGGAGCTGTTCTTGATGATTGAATATGAGATTATGACTCTTCTACTTTTTCTTGAGCTTATCTAATTCATAGTTATCTTATCGTTAAAGAACTTGTAAGATAAAAGGAGTAAAAACCATCTTTGATGTGTTGTAGTTTTTAGACTGTTTTGGAATATTTTTGAGCTATATTGTCGCAGAAAAATTATGGAGAACAACTTGGGTTTGTTTTTATTGATCGTGTTATTATTCTTATGGAGAAAGCAAGGTTCTGGTTGTGGCTATGAGATGAGCTCGTCGCTCAATACGCTATATTCTAGTTTCCTTTTCATTGACGAAAGTCCTATTGCCGTTTATGATTGTTGTTGCTGCGCCACTTATTGGCTGATTATGAGCTTAATTCTAAGTTAAATTCATGGATGGTTTACGTGGAAAGAGGGCTGGTTATGTGTTGCTGGTTGTGTTGCTCGATTTAAAAAAAGAAGAAGTTGGAAATGTGCCATTTAGTAATCTGAGATCGAGCTTATCGCTCATTACTTTATTGTTGAGTTGCTGGCTGGTTGTAGTCATTATTATGCCTATTGTAGGCTTGGGGAAAGTACTAAAATAAGGGGAGATGCTACTCGATTTTTTATAGTAACGAGTTATCATTTAATATACGTCGCATACTGGTTTTCTTTAAGTTAACAAACGTATTGTCATTGTTATAGGTTGAGGTGCTACTCGGGAAAAGTTTGTTTTCGAGTTGGTACAGACGACGAGAGGCATGTAATTGCTATCCATTTTCTTTTATTGGCATGAATCTGTAGTAAGTACGAGTTGGATGAATCTTATACGAGAAACACATATTATAGAGCTCATGTCTCAATATGTGTTACATCTTTTCGTATACTTCCATCGTATCTTATTGTGAGGGTTCCTATCCACTTTATGTTATTCCATGATGTAGGACAAAGATAGAGAGTTACATACGTACCTCATACATTCTACTATGTACATGATATACAACATCGTATACATATATTTTCTGTAGCCTGGCCACTTGGTCAGTGAGAGATACTATTGCCTGGACTTATGGTCAATGAGAGTTTATATTTGACTGGCCTTACGGTCAGAGAGAGTTTACTGTTGCCTGACCACTTGGTCAATGGGAGATACACTGAGCCCTATATGTGGCCGGCTAGCTATGATATCACTATATTACATTGTGTTTAGTCGGAATAGGTGATTATATCTCTGGTTGGGTGGTATGCACTATGTAGACTTGCTGGACTAAGGTAACTAAGTCAAGTGTCGGTCCCGCTCCCCAAGATCGGGGTGTGACACGAACCTTGCCAACATCAAAATCAACCATGCCAGCAAGTCATAATACACTATATGAAGCTACTCGAAGTCTCAAATCACAAAAAGAAATGCTACAACTCAAAACGACCGGTCGAGTCATTACTTTCTCCCCCTCTTAAATATACGTTCATGCTTGAACGTGCCAAGAGTCATTCCAAAGTCATCCAACCACTGTATAAGCTCATCATGCATATACCGATGAGTGATCCCACGTCACGACAATATATATATATAAGTCCGTCAACACAACCTAACTGAAGATTCTTTAGCTTACAATCCTTAGAACCAAATTCCAACATTTGGATCTCACTCCAAGATCCGATTCTTGTACATATATATTATACTAGTCTCCACAAGACTTATCAAGTCATAAACATAATCCCAAGATATAACAACACGTTGTACCATATAACCCATATACTTATAGCATTATCTTCCAACCACGATAGTTGTTCATCAGCAAACTTGGTACCAGTAATATGCTTCATATTAGATAAATCCTTGTTACAAACCTTCGTAGCATTGCAACGAAGAAAGAAACATTTAGAAACTCATAACCACCAATCAAGTCAACAAGTTGTAGAGTTCTCTCGCCTAATAAGAATCGTTGCTAATATCTAAGCTGACTAATGACTTTCCTCTCCAAACATATCTTATCCAATTTGGATTGCACTAATTTCAGGTCAAATAATCTCATCTCACCCAATACAAGCTGCTTGAGCGACTAGCCACATCCAATGTCGCCTAGAGTCACATGCGACATGGTCCACACCCAACAAGCAACAACTCGAATATAACCAAATATGGAACGAGAACTAAATAAGAGAACTAGATAACATGTTCGGTAGGTACCATCCCCAAGGAACAATTCTATGATTCCATCCCTCAAGGGAGAAATAAAACACACAAAATAAGCACAAAGAATCATATCCTAACATAACTCTGATGCATCACGTAGCCCGATCCAAACATACCGATCCACAGGGAATACCCATCGAGCCATAATGCTCACAATCAACAACCACATGTATATCAACAACAAACACGTGAAGTGCATGACCATAACCATGGAGAAATAGATAGCACAATATACCACAGACAGAAAAACCACGACCAAGGCGCAATAAACAATTCAACACCCCAAGAGCCATCTTACTCAAATATCTCCATAAGGCTTAAATAGAACCACATCATGTGCTTAAGGAGTCAGGAAATCTCACAACCCATCGTAGCATAAAAGAGTAATACATAAAACAAATCAGGGCATGTATAACATCCATTCCGCCTGATGATACACCCACAATAAATGTTATGCAAGAGTGAGCAAGCCTGATCTAGTGTAGAATACACATTCTCATTAGGCCTACCAATGAGCCACCCCCCCCCCCCCCAA